ATCTGGTTTTTCCTCGTATTACTATTTGTAGAAAAACTTTCTTCTCTCGTTAGCCAGTAAATAAGAAACACAGATGGACGAACATTATATAGATTTGGTTTGCTGTAGTATAGAATAAGTAGTGTTATACTAAACTTAGAATCGGATTGCTTCAACTGGATCCATGCATGACTAGTTGGGAAAAACATCTTTTAGTTTCTTAATGTCTTTGACAGTGACTTCATAAGTATTAACATTTCGCAACCTCTGCATCTCTAGGTATTCTTAAAAGGGCCTTCTCTTCATGCATTTAAGGGGTTGGCAAGTCGACTTGCTTCAACTGTAGTACATTTCGCGCTGCTGCTTGCAGTGTCTGGAGGAGGAACTCTAAGTGCAGCAGACAGTTTTGGAGGGGATGTAATTGCAACGCCTGGGGTTCTATCGACTCCTTCTGATGCTTTTAGTACTAAGGTTCATGTCAACCGTTCCCACTTGGACTACGATGAAAGTGGAGAGGTATGCACATTCATTTTATGTGAGTTAACTTTGCTTTCCCTTTCCACAAACTGCTGAATAACTCTTTTCTTTTCTGTAATGTAGGTCTCGCAGTTTAATACTGATATTTCCCTGATTGACCTTAACGGAAAGGAAGTACTGAGGAAAACCATAAGTGTCAACGATCCCTTAAGGTATAGTGGCATCACCTTAAGTTTTTGTGAAAAAGAATTCTTTAACTTAACGAGAAGCCTACATTTTTAAAGTTCTCTCATTATTTCTACTGTTCTGATTTTTCCTCCTTTTTTATTCTAAAATGCAGATTAATACAAGCTGGTGATTCGCAATCAACTATTCTTAACGATAAAGAAGGGAAATTTGATGGAGTTAGACAACCGAGCTCAAAGCTTCAAATTGAGATTGATGGAACAAAAATTGTCATTGTAGACGCAACTGGTAGTACTAGCCTGGACCTAAAGGTACCAAAAAAAAAATCCTCATATGAAGTAGCAGCATCCAAAGAAATTGTTTTAGTTTATGGAAAAGGGCCTGATTTACCCCTCTACTATTTCGATCTTGTTGCTCGTTATACTTTCCGTTCAGATATACCCTTGCCGTCCATCAAAGCTCTATATTTGCCCCTATTTTAACGACCAAGACACGTGGCGCCTTTGAAGAGATTGAACCATATGAATAAATAGGGGCAAATATAGAACTTTGATGGACGGCAAGGGTATATTTAAACGGAAAATATAACATGGGACAAGATTGAACAATAAACAATAGTAGAGGGTCAAATCAAGCCCTTTTCCGTTTATCTTATGTTTGCAATGGTTTTTGAGTGTGTACTATGTTTTGCTACAGACTGATCCAGGAGTACCAATAGTCTATGCTGGTTTTGGTTCTCTAATGCTTACAACTTGCATTAGTTATTTGTCACATGCACAGGTGAAATTCTGTCCCATAGTCAACAACTGTGACCTAGTAAATTCAAGAAATTATGATTATCTTAACATTTATTCTGACTTATATGAATCTTCTCAATAGCTCTCAGCCTTACAAGATGGAATAACTGAAGTGGTTGGTGGTAAGACTAATCGAGCCAAGGGCGAGTTTCCTGACGCTGAGGATCGATCCCTCGATCAAGTCCCCGAGTTAGATGAATCATATTCTTCTACAGAGGAATCTGATAGTTTCATTGGCTTCAGGATTCAAGTTGGAATTTGGAACAAGAAAGATTTTGATATGTAACTAGCTGATGTTAGAATGAGAACGCAGAAGTCAAAAGAATTGAATCACAAAATCTTGAGTTGATAAAGACCCTGATTTTGGAATTAACTCATTTTCATGATAGGACAAGTTATAAATCAAGTTCTTGACCAATGTAAAGTTAGTAGTACTAGTCATTCTCATTAGTTTTGGGGGCTAGTATAGGGGTATTACAGGCGTATAAACTAATAAATCAGTATGTATAGGATTAGGACCTTTTACATTTCTAAAAGTGTTTTGTTGCCTTATATAGAAAGAGTAGTATACATGTACACGTACGTAAATGGTAATAGTTGTTTGTATATTTTAATCTGTTACAATAGGCCACCTATCTCATTTTGCAAGTTACTAATGGGCACCTTGTAATTATTTTTTAAGTGATTTGATACGGTAAAAGTTTGTTTACTCATCAACGTATAAAAATTATACTCTATCTGTTTTAGTTTATGTGCTGTAATTTGATTGAGCATGATATTTAAGATAGAGAAAAACTTTTACAACTTGTGGTCTTAATCATGTTGTGAGATTTTTGTGGTTGTAGTATGTCTTACGGATAAATAGAAAAGTTTAACGTAAATTGTTTTCAAAATATAGAAATATGTCATTTTTGTAACGTAAAATGGAACGGATTCAGTATTTAATTATCTATTGATTGTCATATGCATGGAAAAGTAATTTTCCTCTCTTATAATGTTCTTTACTGGCAGTGTTTCCAAATAACAATATAATAATGACGTTGCGTTGGTGGAGTTTGGTGTATTATTCGTCAACAGAGTTTGGTGTGACTTGTTTGTTCACAAGAAGTGAAGAAACTGAGCACGGATTTGTTTGTTTCTAATTTCGTGGAGCTTTGACAACCAGATTTAATTTGCTAAGTAAATACCAAACCTGCATCCTTTTGTCTTAACTTTGACCATTTAATAATAAGCATTTCTTTTTCTCTTTTTTTACTTCATTTCCTGGGAAAAAGAGGGGGAAAACGTCGACAATATTTCGTCAAATTATACTTCCTCAAAGTCTGCAAAAAGTAGTAGTTGTTACAATTGACTTGTTTTTTGGTGGAAAAATCTACTAATTACTCACATAATTAGTTTAGTACTATGTCTACACGTATAAAAGCAATAATGATAATTTCAATAAAGGGTTGGTAAGATGAACATATGTGCAGTTTTGCTGTCAAATTACGAGATGGATATCATATGATAAGAGAGTCAAAATATTTTAATTTACAGTTTGGTAAGAGTTGGGGACTTCTACAAAGATTTACTTTAAGTACAACTTGCATGACGCGAATTATTTGCACTTTTACATCATGCACGAGCTTTTTATTTCTTTATTTTCACTGTTTAGCTGACTTAATTTGAATATAATTAGGAATTTTTTGGGTAAGAAAAGTTAGGAATAGAAATTAGAAATTCTTGGACAAATATGATAATTATACTCCAAGTGTAATTAGGTAAGCTATTCTTGAAAAAGCGTGTAACTTTGAATTTATAGTTTAAATTTTGGAGTAAAAATAGCATGGACTATCCAGTTTTCAGACTGGTAATCGAAAACTAGCCAGCGTTTGCAAAGTCACTGAAAAATAGCTAATATTTTATGCGGAGATAAAATCTGGACAAAAATACCCTAGCTGAAACACGGAAAGTTCCAGCATAATATGCTTGATTATAGAGCTCCCGCATATAAACTTCCAACACATTATGTTGGAACTTCGGGACATTATAAAATTCCAGCATATGCAAAAAATCCAAACTCCAGCATATTATGCTGAAATATTTTCGCATTTTTAATGATATTTTTGTTCAGATTTTATTTTTACATGAAAAAATAACTAAATTTTGATTATTTTTGAAATTGTGACTATTCTTCAATTACCAGTTGTAAATCAAGCTATTTCTGATTTTCCCCAATTTTGGACTGTCACATTCTTTTATTCTTTAGTCATTTTTTTTCTTTAGAAATTCATAATCTAATCCACAAGTTTTCCATCATATATATGGTTTCTTTTAGTCTAACATTTTCTTTATAAATACAAGAGAGGGAAAGTCTCATATTCAATATTCATTCATAGTTTCCCAAAAACTCTTATAATTGTCAAAATACCGATAAATCACTACACCAACCAAACGAATATTACAATATAAACAAGAATATTAGTTGTGCCTTTTAATAATTAGTATATGCGAATTGTATATTATCCAATATAATTGAAGATCATATCCTGAAATTCGCGTGCAATTGAGTACAATTATATGTATATAAATTTAACTGCTTTACTTATATTTTCTGCTTGATATATATGGAAATAGAACGATAGAGAAATGATAACAAAAAGACGAACAAAGTGGTTGAGTTGGATTGAAAGTCAACTATGGCTTTCACCAAATATTTACATAAATTTGTTGTCACGTCATGCATGATCTACAAATAAAGTCGATTCTTACTCATTTTCTGTCATTTTTCAACCAATCAGTTGTCTAATTCATGAATAACTAACATCCCACCTTATCAATAATAGCAGTAATAATATTAAATAATAATAATAAATTTTAAAAAAATTGCATTAATATTCTTGTAACCGTGTTTCATTCACACGTATAGTTTGAAAATGTTGCCACTACAAAAGAAAAGGCAAAAATAAAATAAAATAAATAATGGCTCATAAAACACTGTACCGATTGAAAATTTGTCGACTACGTACCCTACAATTTCGCCCGTGTTTCCTTCTCCATAACTCGTTTACTCGTGTCCCTAAATACTTTAGGTTTAATTTTGTTAATGATGGTCAAATTATCAATTGTTTAAGCATTAATCACTTCTTTTTCTATAAAAAGTTTATTAATTTATAATTTAAAGAACATTACTAGCCGAAATAACTGTTAGTTGAGTCCTTTCAAGAAAGTTTATCATATTATGGGCATGTGATAGAATCGGTTTTCCACACCACAAAGTTAAAGAAAAAGTCAGTTTGTCATTCTTTGTTTTCTTTTTTTGGTTTCTCACCTGGTGTCCATTACCCGTCTTGGAGCCCGACTATATCCGGAGTCGCGCCGGGTAGGGGCCATTCGGAAAAGCGCTCCTACCAAGGATTTTTTCATACCTAGGGCTGGAACTTGAGACCTCTGGTTAAGGGAGGAACAACCTCATCTGCTGCGCCACATTCTTTGTATTCTATTAGTATTATTACTGACTTTCAATTTGTATGCATGTAGCTATCGACCTATATATATATATATATATATATATATATATTATATTGTAGTTGAATTTAACTAACAAAAAAACAAATAAATGTAACAACAGCCAACAGAAGAAAATCAAGAAATCAGAGGAAAAAACAGAGGATTTTGTAGACAGATTAATTTACAATGGCAGTAGAACCAGTGGGAGTTCTTGAAATGGAAAGGAAATTTCAAGCTGATGATTGTGATGATGCAAAGAAAATGAGCAAAAAGAGCTTTAATGAATCCAAGAAGTTATGGGAAATAGCTGCTCCTGCTATTATCACAGCAGTTTCTCAGTTTTCCATTGGCTTTGTCAGCGTTGCATTCGTCGGACATCTTGGTTCTCTAGAGTTAGCTGCCATCTCTGTTGTTCAGAATGTTGTTGAAGGCTTTGTCTATGGAGTTATGGTACGTAAAAAAGAAAATTCATGATTGTCGACCAAAACTATGATTTGAGGACTCTGTCGTTTAAGCTGTTAGAGAGAACATACGCTTAGTTACTTAGTATTACTTATGTCTTTGACATGTGTTTGAATATGGACTAAATCTTTCTTTTTCTTTTGTGTGTCTAAAAATTTGTTATATTAGCTAGGGATGGGAAGTGCACTTGAGACACTTTGTGGACAAGCTGTTGGAGCAGAACGATTCGATATGCTTGGAATTTATTTGCAAAGATCATGTGTTATTACTCTAGTGACATCTTTATTTTTGACACCATTTTATGTATTCACATCACCAATATTGATGCTGTTACACCAAGATAAGCGTATTGCAGAAATTGCAGGAAAATATGCAATTTGGGTGATTCCTCAACTCTATGCTTATGCATTGAACTTTCCTGTTCAAAAATTCCTCCAAGCACAAAGCAAAATATGGGTTATGACAATAATCAATGTAGTCGTATTGGCATTTCATATTGTATTGAATTGGGTTTTGGTGACAAAGCTCGGGCATGGACTTCTTGGTGCTGCAATGGCAGGGAATATATCGTGGTGGCTCGTGGTTTTAGCTCAGAACATCTATGTTATTTCTGGTTTTTTCCCTGAATCATGGACTGGATTTTCCATATTAGCTTTTAAATCTCTCTGGAATTTTGTCAAACTGTCACTTGCATCAGCTGTCATGTTATGGTATGTTCTATTGATTTCTCGTGATACATTTCCCTTCGAGTGAGCAGCACTGGGTAAACCTCCCCTGTGTAATAGCCTGCAAACCACACAGGGAATGTAAACCGCACTAGGCAATCCCTGTGCAACAGGCTCAACCCATAAGGCATTGAGGGGGAATCGATCCCAGGTCATCCGTATGGATAACCGCCCTCCAAACCAACTGGGCAACCCCGAAGGGTTATATATATATATATANATATATATATATATATATATATATATATATATATATATATATATATATTATATTTTTAAAGTTATGGGTTCATATCTATTATTTTTTGTAATTTTTAATAAATTTTTTACACATAAATTCTTATTCCGCGTTGAAAGTTATGGGTTCAATTGAACCCGTTACTACCACACTACATCTGCCCCATCATATACAATTTTTGTGATGATATATTTGATTTGTCTAAATTTGGCAGCCTGGAGCTTTGGTATTTTACTGTGGTGATTCTTATGGTTGGCTGGTTAAAAAATCCAGAAATTAAAGTAGATGCTGTATCAACCAGGTTTGTATCTTAATTAAACCCTGTACTAAACTTTCAATTATTTTTATAAAAATAGACTTTGGTTTTGTTTTTGCTACATTCTCACTGTTTATAATTCTTACTCTTTTCTATATGTTTCCTCTGTGTCACAGTTTGGACTTGCAACTTTGGGTACTAATGATCACTCTAGGTTTCAATGCTGCAATCAGGTTTGTAAGAATTCCATTTCTGTGCTATCTTTTTGGGAAGAAGGGATTGCCGCAATTGAACAGATTTAATTCGAGTATATAGTCAGACCTCTCTATAATAACATCCATATATAACAACCATTTACTCTAAAAGTCAAGTTTTTCTCAGAACCAATTTTTATGTTATGTTATAATATATGTCCTCTATAACCAAAAAATAATCGAACAAATGAAGCTGTTATAGAGAGATTTGACTGTACATCTAATACTTCAAATTACATGATGCAGTGTACGTGTTTCGAATGAACTGGGAGCTGGTCGTCCAAAAGCTGCAAAATTCTCAGTAGTGATTGCTGTAATTACATCAACTATTGTTGGAGTTGTATTTACAGTTGCAGTAATTGCTACTAAAAATTATTACCCGAGAATGTTTTCTGATAAACTAGAAGTCCTACATGAGACATCCAAATTGTCATATTTCTTGGCTGCTACTATTTTCCTAATGAGCATTCAACCTATACTTCATGGTAATCAAAGTCTCCCGAAAATTGATTAAATTAAAGAAAAAGACACTAAAATTGTCATACTGCTAAGTTATTTGAACGAACGTTGAGTATTTTTGTTGTGGAAATGCAGGTGTAGCAGTTGGAGCTGGATGGCAATATTCAGTCGCGATTATAAACGTCGTTTGTTACTATATAATTGGTCTTCCTTTGGGTGCTTGCCTTGGTTACATTGCAAACATTGGTGTTAATGGAATATGGACAGGAATGCTCGTTGGTACCTTGCTTCAAACAATAGTTTTGATGCATAAAATGTGGAAAGTTAATTGGCGAAAAGAGGTTAGTGTGATTTCTTGTTCTTGAAAAGTTAGATATTGTAAGTTTACAATTTTGAACATGTAAAGTACTAACTTGTTTAGAGTTTAACTTCTATATACTGACACGGTTCACCTAAAAATGTAAACTTTACGCGGTGCAGGCAATATATGCTGAAGAGCGTATCAGAACATATGGCGACCAGCCTTCTCAAGATGGTATTGAACAAACTGGATCGCGTGCTACCTCGTCTCTGCCAGTAGTAACATGAGAGAAGAGGAAATGGGATTAAACACAGACCATTAAAATAGAGCATACAAGAATTGGATAGGTATAGTATAGTAAAACTGGTTCGCCTCGCGGAAAATTTTTGAGTTAGATTTGGTCAGGACTGCAATAAAAGGTCAAAATCGACCTGATTGCAAGCCTTATAGGTTCATACCTATTATTGGTGTTCAGTGGTGAAGTTAGAAAATTCAATAAGGGTGTTCAAATTTCAAATATCTTTTGCAAGGGTGTTCAAGGTCTATTTTATTAATTAATAACAAGTAATATTTTATCGACGAAGGGTGTTCAGTTGATTATTCTTGGCCACACATAGCTTCGCCCCTGCTGGTGTTTACCAACGCGACGAATGCTGCATTGTATGGAGATGCTAACCATGAAAATATGAAAAGAACTGTTTTGTTGCTGTTGCCACTAGAGAGAAAATGTTCACTAAGTAGATTTAGACAGTCAAATTGTATTACTCTTTCTAAATAAATAGTGCTGCTGCTGCCAATCTTACACATTTTGTCTGTACAAAGAGCTTACTAAGAAATGGTGATCTGATGCATTTTGTTTTTCATCTGAATCCCAGTACAGGTCTCCTCTCTCCCTTACCTAAGTTTTTAGTCTCTTCAACATAATTTGAGCACTAAGGGCTCGTTTGGCACGAGGGATAAGATCCAGGGATAATTAATCACGAAATTAAATTTGAGATGAGCTTATTCCAAGTTTGGTTGTGATAAAATCGTGGTATAACTAATCTGGGGATTAATTATTTCGAAATTGTAGTGTTTTCTTATCACCACGAGAGGATGGGATAATTAATCCCGGGATATTTAATCATGGGATAACTTATTCTAACCAAACGACCCCTAAATTTTTCTAGTTCCTTTGGAGGCAATCATATGATAGTCAGAGGAGGATGTAGTATGTTTTATTCGTGTTCAACTGAACCCAACATTTTGGACACAAAGTATCTATATCTATATAAAAGTTACTAAAATTTCAACAAAAGTTCAAAGGTAAGATTTTAAAGGTAGAACCGTTAAGTTTAAATCCTTGATCCACTTATGGTATTTGCGACAACGAAACTCGAACTGAAAGGTGATTAATTTTTTTTCCCCTCATTTCATCCCTCGAACTAAAGTTTTGCTATGGATTAGTTTGAGCAAAAACTGCATTAAAGATAGTCAGCACGCTGGTCTTAAGAAAAGAATCTTAAATTATTAAAAGTGATTTTGTAATTATTTTTGCATATATCAAATGCCATGCTCTTTTTGTAACGGGAATTAATACAGATCAGAATGTAATCCAGCTAAGATCATATCAATTTTTATCTATTAATTCTTTACCGTTTATGTTTGTATGTTGAAATTCTATATAACAACACATAAGAAATAAAATGCCAGTAATGCAAAAAATTTATCATGAACAAAGTTAATGGTCCTCTCAACAGATTATAAGGTCAGAAACCTGTTATTTAAAAGCTTTTTTTGGTTCTTTGTTGATAATATAATGTTTTAAACTGTCATTTGTTTGTTCAAATATCTTTTTGATAGTTTAATTTTTTTTCCTGACATGAGATCTAATAATGTTATAAAGTTTTCCCCAGTAACATGGCTGAATTGTGTCCTCTCTGCAGCCCTTCTTTTTTAATTATTTTCTAAAAAATTCTAATAGGATTATTTGTTACCCCTCAGTTCTTTTTACCAGAAGGGTATAAGTCTAATTTCTGAATATTTACATCTAATCTTGAGAAATTGAAAATATATGCCAGCTTAGTTTCTCACAGGAAAATAGTTTGACAGATAAGTTATTAGTTATTGCCTAGATAGAACTAAATCTGCATCTTTTACGTAAGCCATTAAACAAAATCTGATAAATGCTGTCTTTTTAGGAAAGCCGTGGAAACAGCCTCTTGCAAAATTGCACGGTAAAGCTGCGTATGATAGACCCTTGAGGTCTGGCCCTTCCCCGGACCCCGCGCATAGCGGGATCTTAGTGCACCGGGCTGTCTTGGCAGGAAAACCATTCAAGAAAAACTGCATCATGCCATTGAAGTTTTTTTTATGTTAATATTTGAGGGTCTATTTGGAAAAAAAGTTAATAATAAGATGAAGTCAACATAGGCGTCCATTAGACCAAATTCTAACCTTAGTTAATATTCATTGAAAAAAAAGGCAAGTAAAGCTGCTGTAGAAAAGAGATAGATCTGCTTAGATAGAACAATGGAAATTTCAAATATTTGACAGCTAAATTTGCAGTACGAATCATGTAGTTAATTTGGTTGTTGTGCAGACAGATTTCAATACAGATTTGACAAAATACTTACATTTCACTGCAATAGACAAATAGTCAAAAACTAACAAACTCTGCATTTAAAAATTCATGTCAAAGAACCAGAGAAAATATTATCCCACTCTTCTTATTTATTATTTTAAATTGATAAATGGAGGGATCAATCAAGAACATAGACGAATCCAGAATCTAGAGTCAGCAGATTCAGAATGAATGTGACCTTATTATATGTAAACATTTTAAATTATTTTTGTATATATACATAGTTCGAGCAGGAAAACATTTGACACCATGTGTTGCGACAACAGAAGTGACATTGAACTGTCAAGGGAGTCTCTAAAAATGGAAGAAAAGCCTTCAGAAATATGGAAGAAAGTAATGTACTTTTCAAAAAGGAAAAATATAACAAAGAAATGGTGGGCTGAATTCAAGAAAGTGTGGCACATAGCAGGACCAGCTATTATAACTTCAGTGTCAGTATTTTCTATGGACTTAGTCACTGCTGCTTTTGTTGGACAACTTGGAAATATTGAACTTGCTGCAGTCTCTGAAGTTCAAAATGTTCTAATTGGCTTTGTACACGGAATTATGGTACGTTATCAAAATTAATTCCCTTAATAACATTCTCGTGGAACTTATATATGATCGATTAAAATTGTTTATATGGATATTAGTTAGGATTAGGAAGTGCACTCGAAACGCTATGTGGTCAAGCAGTTGGGGCTGGAGAATTCAACATGCTTGGAATTTACTTGCAAAGATCATGGATTATAAGTATAGTTACAGCATTGCTCTTGACACCGGCCTATATTTTCTCGTCGAAAATACTGAAGCTCTTGCATCAAGATCCAAATATATCTGATCTAGCTGGTAAATATGCAGTTTGGATAATTCCTGAAATATTTGCAAGTGCATTGAATTATCCTACAGAGAAGTTTCTTCAAGCTCAGAGCAAAGTTTGGTTCATGGCTTTTAGTTCAATGTTAACATTGGCTTTTCATGTGCTGTTGAATTGGATTTTTGTGACAAAGTTGGGTATGGGACTTGTTGGTGCTGCTATAGCTGGGAATATATCTTACTGGATTTTGGTTGTGGCTAAGATTATTTACATTGTTTGTGGTTGGTTTCCTGAGGCATGGACTGGTTTTTCATTCTTGGCTTTCAAATCATTAACTAAATTCTTGAAGCTCTCAATTGCCTCAGCAGTAATGTTATGGTAAGTGGTGAATGACTGCTAATTCAGCTCCATTATGTAAGGGTGTGTTTGGTAATGACGGAAGTCATTTTTTAGGAAAATGTTTTTCATCACTAAGTCATTTTTTGGTGTTTTTTCTATTGGAAACAGCCTCTCTATCCTCACAAGGTAAGGGGTAAGGTCTGTGTACGCTCTACCCTACTCAGACCCCACTTGTGGGATTACACTGGGTTTGTTGTTGTTGTTGGTCACTTGAAAATGTTTTTCAAGGCAGAAGTCATTTTTCTTACAATTATCTTGACGTTTAACTTCATATTATTTGCTCTAACTAACACTTAATAACCAAAAATTTCACCACAACCACTCTTCGATGTGCTAATATTATTCTAATTTTTTTTTCTCGAAAGTATTTTCCACTCACTAGTCAAAGACCGAAAAATATTTCCATGGGAAATTACTTCCGTCGTACCAAACAAACTCTGAATCAAATCTTTTTTTTCTGATGAATGGATCTAATGATGGCAGTTTAGAGGTATGGTACTATACAGCAGTGATTTTAATTGTAGGAGGCTTGAAAAATGCTGCAATTGCTGTTGACTCAATATCAATATGGTAAATATATTCCCTAAATCCATTCATAAGTACCTACATTCAATTCCCCCC